AGATGCAATGCATCTTTCTATATGAAAACAAACATATAGGGGTAGGTACCATCCTGTAACCAAAGCTGCATTCTAGTCATACGGGCTCCTAACCAGTTCAGGCTTTCTCATTTATTAATAGACTAGAGTGCTGTAGTGGGAATTAAATAGCACAGTAGGGCACTTTCAAGTCTTCACTGCATTTTATTTTATTTAACAACACTTTATTTTTCACTTATATTCAAGTGCAGAAGCTCCGATGTGTTCCAAATTTGCCCAGCACAGAAGGAACACAGGAAAAAAAATCCTTCCATTGCAAATTAAGAGTTTATACTGTCTTTCTCAAGACAATTAAATAAACCAAATGAAAGATTATTCCTTTTTCTTTTTTCATATGGGAGGTAGGGAGGCACAGGGAGAAGGAAACACTGGCAAATCGCACTGCAGCAATTGCTTTGGATCCGTATCAAGTGACATGGTATCACTGTAATCCACACAGTGGAAATTTCAGTCTGGCAAGGTCAAAGTTTCCTTAAACTGAGGGTGGCTCCCAGCTGGCACATGGCAGATAGTTGGCTTTTTTTGTTCATTTTGAGTTTTTTCCACCCCTGCCCCAGATCAGGTTTTCTCAGTCTTTGCATTATTCAAACTTTTGGAATAGGCAAATGCTGTCGAAGTATTAAAAAGCCTTTCAAAAAACGAGTTTGCTAGTGAGAAGAGTCTGATTCCTGAATGACAGACCGTTCACATTTGGCTGGCCGATCCAGCCGGCCATGCGGGACTGTTCCTGGAAAACGTAGGAGGGAAAGTTTGGTCAGACAGCGACTTTCTCCATCACGCTGTCCGTGACGTGCACCTCGTCCGCTTGCACCGTCATTGTGGCTGACTGGCCACACATGTGCTGGTGATCCTTCCAGTCCTGCAAAAGGGAAGTGGGAATGAAAATGTCAAGGAGAAAAACCAGCCCAAGGGCCCTGTACAGCCTGCAAAACCAAACTCAGCCCCAGCAGAAGCTGTTTTTGAGAACTGAGTCAATGCTAGAGGGGGAAACGAGATGGAGCTGAATGCTGGTGCCTAGTCCAGCACTGACCAATGTCAGTTAGGACTTGGAAAATTTCAATAAAGCAGAGTCAGAATGTATCCAAACCCACTCCTGAAAGACACCTCAACATATCTCTAGCATCATATGAGGCATCTTACTTGAGTAATGGTAAAGGAGAGGAATACAATTCCTAGTATTACCTCCCAACAGACTTTCTTTACACACCAGTGCAAGCTAACCAAATACTGATGTAACCAACTTGCTCAAATCAGGTGTCTTGCTGTTCTTCCTCACATTAGTTAGCACACTACAGGTCTGGCTTCCTGCACATTCACCAAACATTCTTTGGACAACTCAATCAGCAATTCAGCAATAGCCTTTTACCTTCCGCTGACAGAAAGTGGAGCAATAGTTGACTTTATGGCATCCCGTGCACTCGTTCGTTGCCTCGCGCCCGCAGTTCACGCAGGACTGCTGTGAAAATGAAAGGCAAAGTGACATTGGCAGAAGTGACAACAATGGGGAGATCGTTATAGAGGAATATGGGTCCTCTAAGGTGATACAGTATAGGACTGGTGGCAAGGACAGGCAGGCTGACCAGAGGGGCAGAACTGCTCTGAGGTTTTCTGCAGCATGTATCTGGAAATGTACTCGACAGCGGTGTGAAGATGAAAGCTTGGGGGATTACAGCCCCCCCTAGTACGTGTTGGCCAATAAATCCTCAACACATAAAGCAAATAGGCACAGTGGCTTCTGGGTGTGTTTTCCGACCTCCACTCTTCTTGCCATTTCCTCTGGGATTGCTTTGGAAAGAGAAATCTAACTTTGTTTTCCTCTCTGGAGTGCAAGAAGCCCTTCAAAACCATAGGTGATACATGGTTTGCCATGAAAATCTGTCCACTGTGAAATACAGATGCCTCCCTCTGTAATACAGGATACTTATGTCAGCTCCTCTCAGCTTAATATAGACTTCTGCAGGAGTCTGTCTTAACCAACAGCGGGTGTATTCCAGACAGACAGCAATGCATAGGCATCCATACCTGAATTCTCCATTTAACTCCAAAATCTAAAAGACAGGTTGGTTTGGCAGCCTTTCAGGTCTACAATCCTAAATGTGCCCGAGAGCAGGGTCTGGGGAAGGACAACAAGAATGGTCACAACGACACCACCTTTCAATTTTACACCTCCCTGTTTTTGAGGAGGGAGAAGGGGTCTGACCCTTAAAAAACTATGGGCTAAACAGGCTTGCTTCCTTTATTTGTAAGCTGTATGATTATATAAGCAGTATGACAAAAGAGAAATAGAAAACAAGAGTAAATATGAAAAATGATAGCAGAAGCCCAGGGCTTAGCCCTCGACAAGATGGGACAGATGGGTTATGGGCTAACAAATCACACTTGGTTTTTAAAGGATGGTTTTATGTCTAGCACTTTAATCTCGTATGACATCAGTTAACATAACCTGTATGTTTAGGTGGAAACATCACTGAAATAAACACTGCACAGAGCAGCTTTGCAGCTCATTAAATTACTGACAAATCATTAGCAAGTCAGAGCAGTGTGAGGCCACAACAGGAAGCATTTGTTGGCTGTGAAGGTACTGTTAGTGTGGCACAGAACACAGGCAATATTTAATTCCATGAACTTCCTTCTTCTTTCAAGCACAAGGAGCCTAACAGCAATGCCCTGATTAACACGGAGTTCATCACGCCAATTAACAGTCAGTGTGACTGAACTCTATTCTTAATGGACAGCCATAAACTTAAGCTACCTAAAAGAGGCTTAGAGCTGCTCCAAATTGTAAAGTCTCTCTGTAAGGACACTAATCTGCCCCTAACTTGCACAGTATTGTGAAACATTGAAAATATGCACTATGAGCACTTGTACACAGAGATCTTGGAAAGGTCTGTTGAATAAGATATAAAGATATGAGGTCTTAAATCATGTGTGTGGACTGAAGTTTAACTTACATTCCCATTCTGAAAGCCTAAGGGAACTGTGTGTCTTTGATAGCCAGCTTGCAAGACAAAACCCAGAACTTCCAGTCACACCTCAGTGATACCCATCAGATAAAGCTGCAATTTTATCACTCAGAAGTGACTCAGATTGATCGATCTGGCCAGATGATGATGAAAGATGGTGAAAACATAGAAGGATTGTGAAACATAGAACCTAATGTGAACTGGACATACTTGGCTAGAACAGAGCATTAGTTCAGCTAGGGAGAGCTCGGGCTGGAAGACTAGGCCAAATATAAAATAGATGATTTTCACAATAATAATAGAAAACTCTGTATCTTTAATTGAAACAAGATAAAGAACAAGATATCCCAAAGAATTCTTCACAGAACATGAGACATGCTCAGCTTACCTTGATGATGATTTCTGTTTTCCCATCTACATCTTCTGTTTGTTGAAATAACTGGTTCTGGTACTGCTGCAATGAAAAATACACCAGACTGGTTACTTCATAGCCAACATATGACACACACAGTTGAAAGGATCCTGCCACAAAGCTTTCTTGAGGATTCTACCACAAAACTCTCCTGTCAGGCCCCAAACTCCATATGGAAGAGCACTTCAAATAAGTTCATGAGTCCAATTGAGTGCTCCTCCAAGGCTTTCAAAACTGAGCCCAACTTGATTACATATTAACTCTGCTTCAAAGTCAAATTAAAAGACTTCCTAGGGAGATGAAGGACAGACTAATCAGCTACGCTAAACACACACAGAGCATCCCCAGTTCCTCAGGTGTTCTGGAGGTGAAAGTTGTGTATATCATATGTAATGAAATTTCAAAATCATTCTTTTGAGGCTACTCTTTGAAGACTGAAATTTTGTCCAGGCCAAAAGCCTTCTCCTTAAGACAGGAAATATATCTGTGAGCTTCAGTTGGGGCTTCTGGCAAGAGAATCTACCTTATTATGCCTGAGGGAGAAAATAACTGTGATTCTTGGGAGAATATAACTGCTAGCAATATCTGGAGTGGAGAAGCTGGGACTCAGGGCTTGGCACTGGACTTTATCAGTCACTTCTCTGCATCTAGGCAGAGAATTGAGCTGGAAAAAAACTGCAAATGACCCTCCCTTCAGAGCCCTGGGTAGAAATAGTCTCGGAGAATGACATAAAGCTTCTAAACTTCTTTTTGGGGATGTAGGTAGAAATACGGATGTCAAAACCTGAGGCTAGATGTCGTTTAAATACAAACAGAAATCACTGCACACATAGGCCCTGCCAGGACAGTCCCCCTGCAATAGCCTGCGCGGAGCCACGTGCGTGCCAGTGAACACAGCGAATTTCAGTTCTGAGAAAGTGCCACAGCTCCACAATTGAAACACTTTCCATCACCAGAATCCACTTAAGCCTCTATAAATGTGGCTAATCCCACGTCCTTGGGAGATTTCCAGCAAGAAAGAGATCAAGAAGTTCAGCTGTCCACTGTCTGCGTCTGAGTGACAAGAGCTCCTCCATCTCCAGTCACTGAAATGTAGTGGGGGAAACATCTGTGTAACCTTCTTCTACCTTCTTTTTACCCACCTGAGCAGCGTGTCCTCTAGTTATGGCAGAGCCATGATGTTTACAGTCCAGGGCATTCAGAAAGTAAGAAGGAAACGCTGCGATGAGAGGAAGGATCAAGCCAGATGTGTCCAGCTCTCTCACGAAACCTTTTCCAGAGCCACTCCTGCCAACATGCAATTCTCAGCCGGTTTCATTGGTGCCTTTGAGAGTATAATCTGTTTTTTGCCTGCCAGAGCAACATTTCTTAAATGCCCAACGCTTTTTAGGTTAATTTCCTACTCTCTAGCCCTGAATTGTTTTAATCTTTCTAAAAAAGAATTCAGATGCTCCAGCTGTTAACCGATTTAATCTTCCACCTTGTTTTCAGATGGACAGGGCCCTATAGATACCACTACATTAAGAAAGGAGGACTATGTTGGTTTAAAAGAGATTTCAGAATTTGACCCCAATTATTTTAATTTACCCAAGACTACTGTTTAACACATTTCCAGTATATCTTTGTTATTTTCCAGCAATGTCTTCTGGCACAGGGTTTGGCGAGTTTACATATTTTTCCCTTCTTAAAGTTTATCTGATATAAATGATGGCTTAATGCGCTCTCAAAAAAATTACATTTTCAAAGCACATAAACCTTTGGGTAAAGTACTGTCTTTAATCCACTACTTCTGGGCCAATCCTCCAAGTGGTCAAATATCTCTTGCGAGAGACACGGAGCCTTTGTTGATCCGCTCACCCTCTCCATCATTTTTTTTCCCTTTATGCAAGTGAAACAAAAATTGAGACGATACCCACAAGATCAGATACACTCATTCACAAGTTATTTAATGAGGCTAAAATGAGGCCAGATACGGGAAATCTTACAAATATTTTGATATCGTCTGTAACAAGCATGATTCATTTTAAAGTTAGCATAAACACTGAACTGCATGGTTTATGGTTCAGTTTTCCTTCTGCCTACCACTTCCAGAGAATTTTACACAAATATAACTTATACTTGGTATAAGCAAGCAGAAAGCTTCTCTGAAGCAGAAAGCCATACATGGGCTGAGCCAGAGAATTTTACACAAATATAACTTATCTTGGTGCCTCTGAAGCAGAAAGCCATACATGGGCCGAGCACGAGCTGCATGTGGGCCTAACGAGCTGCATGTGGGCCTATTGCTTACATACAGCAAGCACGTGGCTGACGGCCACTCAGCTTTTTAAACAGGGTTCATCTTCATATCTAGAAATCCAAGGGCAGCCCCTGTGTCAGTGAAGCCTTCGGGTCTGGGGCCTGGGATTTGTGGCCTACAGTTTCTTCAGGACAGCTAAGGATCTCCCAAAACCTTCATGCCGAGCATCATGCGCCACTAACCTTCAGCATATAGGAGCAAGGCAGAGTGAACACAAAAATCCATGCCAGACATAGAAGAATGAAGGACAGATGTATTTTCCAACATTTCCTCTAACTACAGATGAAGACATACATTTATATTCCATTACCGCACAGCTCAATGCTTATTTTTTCCTTCTAAAATCTGAGTGTCTTCCAATTCAGTCATCCTGTTCATTCTGACTGCTTCAGATCCAGGTATTGCCATGTGTTTGGGATGGCAGTGAGGGATCCAATCTTCCTGCAAAATTCCTATTAGATTTGCTGCCCTAAGAAAGAAACTGGAATTCAAGAGACAAGGTGCTGAACTGGGGAAATACCTCTGCATCACTGGAGCAAGCTAGGATACCTGTTATTTCCAGGCAGAGCAATGAAGTTAGTGTATGTGGTTGGGAACTAGCCTGCTCCTGCTAACAGATTTCTTTAATCCTGATACGTATTAAGTCATTCTTCCAGGAAGAGCTGGATCTGCAGCTCTATTATAATTTAATCTGGTGTATGGCCTTTGCTCTGCAGCAGCTCTGACATAATGAAGCAATCTTTCATTTCTATGCATGTAGGAACATAGAGCCACACAGAAATTCTGCAAAGTGGGAGCACTCCTACCTGGGAGCGTCCACTCTGCTGCATCCACTGCCCCATTAATAAAAGGACAGGTTGCCAAGGGGGCCCCATCTGTTCTCTGGCCCTTAGAAGCTTTGTGGGCACTGGTAAAGAGTAGGTTTACTCCTATTCCTTCTTCTCATATACCTTAAGTGACAAGAAACCAATTATGACCAGAGACAAACTTATGGTGAGAAAGAGGCTTGTATCACAAATGAGAGAAATGCTCATGAAACCAGAAAAGCACAAACACAGGGAAGTAAGTGGCTCTGCCTCATCTGGAACAGACACTGAACTGCTGTTCCAGAAACCAGTTAGGAAGAGCAGAAGGGAAGAGGGCACATAAATTGGAAAAGGAAGCAGAGCGCGAAGTTAAGCCAGATTTCCAGCTATAGACTGTCAAAGCTTCCAGTTTTTCCACTATCCCACGCTCTGCCCAGCTGTTTGGTAGCAGAGGACCCCAAACTGAACAGCAGCACAAATACCCCTCCTGCCCGGCTGGAAGGCAGGGGAAGAATTAGGACTCTCAACATATCACACACCTGCACATCAAGGATGCAGCATACAGAAGAGTTTAGCAGAGACAACGTGGCAAAGAATACCAAAGAGGCTGCAAGGACTGTCATAGGGGTTCTCAGCTCCCAGCAAAGTCTTCCCACACACAATTCTTCAAGGCCTCTTGCTGCATGCTCACGCCTACGGATCCATGGAAAGCCAACATTAGCAATAACGCCAATGGCAACAGCAGGCAGCGGGGTACAACGGAAGGAAGTTCATCAGCTATTGACAGTGGAACAAAGTCTCAGTAAAACTGTCCTCGCTTTCTCCCTCAAGTCCACACCGGCAGCTGCGGACCTGCAGGAGAAAGGGGAATGTGTTCATTTTTTTTTCCATGAAGAAGAATTCAGGGCCCCTAACATGCATCAGTTTTCAAGAAGAAAACCAGGGAGAAAAGGACAATCTTTGCACATGATCTCTTACAGAAAAGAGAAGGGCTCCTGGGTGCCAGCCTGCAGGGAAGACTCTTGTGGTCCTTGCTATTGCAGCCTGCCTTGGGGTCCTACCACAGGCCTCAAGTGAGATCAGCTTGTGCAATGCCCAGTAAAACAGCTCAGCATTTCCTTTATCCTCCTCACAGACTCCCCAGCTTGCTCTTCTCTTCATGCCTGCACCTCTTCAGGCAGTGAGAAGCCTCTGGCAGCCCTGCTCCCTTGCCATGAAGACCACACATAGCTGAATGCTCAGGACCTTCACTGAATTGGGGTTCACAGGAATTCAGTGCCCGTGTCTCAGAAATTTATGGAGGCTGGTGTAAGAGCTCAGGACTTGCAACATGAAGCTATTTATATGACTAGGCTGCTACCCTCAACTCTTGGAAACCCAGAGCAGCTCACTCCTTTCCTCACGACACAAATAACTGGTTTCTCTAGTAGTACTGCTATCGAGGACTCGAGAAGCAACTTCTAAGGGCTGTAACCACAGTTCCAGCCAGTGAAAACCAGCAAGGCACTGCTCTGGTCATCATTCAGCCAAAAGGTGGCTGTGGCTGAGCCATCTCACCCCCTCTGGCATCATTACCTCTTTCCTCTCCACGTCAGCTTGAATTTTCGCCTGTGTGACGGCGGCCTCGCGGAAGGAGGAGCTGGCCTGTTTAGCCTGTTCAATGAGAGTCTTCAGCTGCTGGGCCGTGTTGAGCAAGGAATTAACCATCTCTTCCAAGTAGAGCCAGCTCCGCTGCTCCGTCACCTCCAGCCCGTTCACCACCGAAGGGGATATGGCTTTGGCAGGGGTGGCGGGGGGCACTGCCAGGGCAGGCAGCGAGGTCAGCACTGAATATGAAGAAAGCAAAATCAAATATGTAGAATTAGAGCATTCCGTTTCCATGAGGTGCTTCTGGTTACAATCTCTACCAAAACCTCCATCCAACTAGGCTTCCAGCTACCTCCCGTGAATGGGAGCTGTGCAGAGCAAGCCCAAGGGTTAACATCAAATCCAGGGGCCTGAAGAACCCCCTAACCCCGCTGTTCTCTCTAGGAAGGAGTTAACATCCCCTAGCACTGCTGCGGAGAGGCACAAATAAGCAGTGAAAATAAGACCCCCAACAAGTCTGCCACTCTCATCAGGATGCTCCGCCTACGTTTCCCTTAACTATTGCTAAAATGAGGTTATAAAAATTCTTCAGTGACTTAAAATACCAAATGTGTCATCACTACACAGGTTTAAACTCTTGGGTTGCAAAACCTTAAAAAATAGGCACAAATCCATGCTAGGCTCCCCTCTGTTTCCCTATCGGAATCTGATCTTAACAGTAACCCTGAAACAAAATTGGAATATAAATAGGGCAGGCCTCCTCACCTCAAAAATACACATATGACATAAGCACACTTTCCAGAAATATACTTTGGAAAATTCATTATAGAAACCCCAACAGTTGGTATTTCTTTGGACCCCATCATCTTAGATTCCAACCATAAAACAAACTGTAAGTGTACAATTACACACGTAAAAAGTGAAACACCAACAGGTTTTTAAAAGACTTTCGCAGTTGCCTGTATCTATTTCAAATGTGCCAGCCTGGATTTTCCAAGCAGCAATGTTCACAGCATCTCTGAAACCCCTGCTTTCCAAAGCCCAAAGATGGGAACCAACATACACAGTTTAGATACAAAGTTTAACAGAAGACATTCACATCCACTGATATTTGCTTAACATTTATCAAGTTGGACAGTCTTAAAAAAAAATAATAAAAAAGGAGTCATTTCTTGTCTGCAGCCCTTTCCTCCAGAACCCATCTATAGCTCTTAACTTTTGTATAAACCAGAAGACCAGAGCTATAAAACTAAACAGGAAAGCACAGAAACCCAGCAAAACTGCTCCCAAAGTATATTAAGAAAATAAAACCAAATTGACTGAGACGTTGCAGCCTTTGCTTTCGCAAATACTAACCATAACCCTAATAACAACTGCAGGTTTGAATATATTATCTAGGAAGCCACCAGCACAAAGAAGTGTAAAGTCTTACCCTAGTAACCCCAAAATGCTTTCCCTGAATCTTCCCAATCTCTCGATTACTGCGTCTCTATATTCTTTCCTTTTCTAAAACCTATCCTAGAAAAATAAGCACAAGTCCTAAAAATCCAACAATATTTTTCTTGGACTTACTTTTGGAAACATTTCACAAAATGTATCAGTTACTGTGTCTCTAAAACATTTACTTTTCAGAATACTGGCTGTAATGCTAAGTTTGCATACACCCTGGGAGGCCTTAGCATGAGGAAATTAAATCTAGGTTGAGGAGCCCAACAACACACCGTGTACCTTCACCTCAGGCAACATTTCCAGGAACAAACCTTATCTAGCTTTGCTGGTCTTGTTTTCCCAACATTTTCCAAGATTTCCTACCTCTAGCTATAGATACATACTACCTGCCAAAAAATTAAGCTCAAGACATTCACATCTACCAGCTGCTGACCTCAAAACTCCCCACTCTACTGCTCACCAAACCGAAACAATAGCATAAGAAGGCAGGACTATTTTCCCATCTGTGTAGCCCTGCTGATTGAAAAATCTACCAACAGGCTATTTTAGGAATTTTCTATCCATATTTATGTAGGAGCTTCAAAATGATTCAGCACACAGGAAAATGAGTGGGTGGTGCAGGCTCAGAAAACACACACTGTCCTGCCTGGCTTGGATCAGCTTTTCAAGGCACCAAAAACAAGTAGCATTCCTTGTGTTTTTTTAATAGGAGGTGATTTATCACATTCCTCTGATAAATGCAGAACCATTCAAATTGATAAAAGCCATTGCCCACGGAGAAGCTTTGAACCCAGCGGGAGATAGGACATCAGGGGTGTTAAGCCATTTAAACTGGGCTCACATCCCTGCACTGTCTGCTGTCCCTTTAGGTGTGCTTAACATCTCTTGCACCTCTGCCTGGTAGTTTCTTCCAGCTCCTGTGTCATTGATCCTGCTGAAAATACTGCCTGTTTGCTACAAATAACAACCTCCCACAGAGCCCTCGATAAGACTATCTCTCTGTGCATCAGGTACACACAAGGAAGGTAGTTTGGTACCCTGGAGACCACCACATAGTTTCCATGTCAGGCTACTAACTATTAAACTATTAACTATTCCATTAGAAAGGAAGGTTATTGCAGCTAGATTTTCTTGCTGGAAACCAGATGTAAGAAAATAAATTTACAAAGCAGGAAGTTCTCGAACAACATGTAGAAGGTGGACTGCTAAAGGTACTTAATGCTCTCTCACTTCATTAACAACCTCTCCTCACAATCTCTTTTGGATATCTTCACGTATATTCATAAAAATGGCTCTCTAGTCCGGTTAGTCTTTCTAAGGTGGCTCCAGAAAAAAACAATTTAGTCTCTCAAACAGCTTTCACTGCAGGAAAACTACTCAAAAGAAACTCTGAACAACAGATGTCTCATTCTGGAAAACATCTCCAAGGCTGTGCTTGAAATGATATTTAAAATTCAAATGCAAATACTGTCCTGAGGAGGAACCAGCCAACATGGTGTCCTGAAGCAGGCTGCAATTCCAGCACTTCCACTCTCAGAGACAAAGGGAAGAGGTATCCAAAAACTCAGAAATTCTCAGAAAATACTGTTGGACCTTTTTGGACAGCCTTGCAAGTTTATCATCCAGACAGACTGACAGTTTTACAATTAAACCTCCTTAATTGAAATAATAATCTCAATCCACTTGCACATGACTGGCATGGATCTATTTGAACATACAAATGAGCAAGAAATAAACCTGTCTTTTATCAAGAACTGTTTGCAGAAGAACTTTTTTTCACGTCACCTTTTCCCTATCACCTGACATTTGACAACATAATCTAATGGGAATTACTTCTGATCTCTGTTTAGCAGAGGTCTATCAGTCAAGATAAAAAACGGCCTTTGCTTCACTGGTAAAGAACGAAACAAAAAA